GTTACTTATCTAGCTTCTGCCCGCAATTCTTTGTATGCGGAATCCCGTTTTTCCACATTCCCGTTCGTGATTTTCTCTAACAAGTAAAAAAACTGAGATAAAAAGTGAAATCCTATGTCCGTCTCCTGATTAAAAGCTACGTCCCCGCCAATTTTCATCCAAATCGATTTAGCCGTTGTTGAGTTATTAATAGGTACCTAGTCACCTAGTGTAACTAGCACGAGTTTATTTTATATGTATATTTTGATATTAGAAGTGGTGTTTGATGAATTTTACTAGTAATATAGAACGCGAAGAAAGTATGTAATAAGACGACATCTCTTTCACATTCAAGTTACAATTACCTTTAGGTAACTTTAGGAAAATAGATGGTAAATACTGACCCAAGTCGTTTGATGAGTCGCTCGATGATAGTCGAGTAGCAAGCACAGGAGAGTGAGTACATCGCCATGCCCCAGCATCCGAAACGTACTCCAGCTTCATACTCCGAACGAGATACACTGCCTACTGGCGCCTGAAATTTTAATCATAGCAATGTTGTAAATAGACTAATATATAATTTGGTGTTTAATGCTAACGTTATTTGGGTAGGCGCACGATTAATTTAGATATCAAGAATAGGCTTTTATAAAGGCTATTTTATTGTTATCAACGCAGATTATGTGTTATTAAAAACCTAGCAGTGTGTTTCTTTTAAACATCCTTTTATGTCAACATTCATTAACTTTAGCTCAGTATTTTACTTTTAGAAGCTTACATAGATCATTTTCACGATTATAGGAAATAATGGGAAGGAACACTGAGCCGAGAAACAATATATGACTATAATATATGATTGCAGATTCAGCAACTAATGTATTATAGTATCCTAGAATTGTCACCGCTGTGAATTAAAGCCGCTAATGTTCAGACAAATGCATTTCTGTGCCATTGCCGCAAACAGTTATGTAGGCGTTTTGTTTCTTACGTACTGTTTAGTGTACATATCATTACATAATAATATTAGTTTTTTTTTCATTGTAACTATTTCGTAGCTATCCCCAAACCTATGAGGAGTAGACACATGCTGTTTTATCACATAGTTAAAGGAAAGTATTGCCTTTAGATACCATAATATGATAGTCATTGATTTTAATACTAAGTGATTATGTACTTGATGGAACAAAATATATAAGTGGGACTACCCACCTCTTTTAACACACTTCTAGTTAAGTAATTAATCATCATTTTACTGAGTACTTGTTCACTTGGTAACTTTACACACTTCCCTGCCTGGATTAAAATGATCAATGTAAGATGAATGAATAACCACACCTAATAAAGATACCTACCTAAACTTTTAAATATTCCTTGGAGTCCTATAACTCGGGACATTAATCGTCATTATACCTATTGACGTATCTTAAATGACGAAGTAGCTATGCTTAGCCTTGGTAGTCTATACTTTATTTAAGTGAGAAAATCATCCAATGACTTCTGCCATCTTGTTTTAGGTGAGAGGGGGTGTCAGACTCTTACTGACTAAAAACCACCCCGTTACTATTAGTAGATATCGGGGAGTAAATAATTAAATTTATGGTTACTAACCGCAGGATTTCCTCCGAAGACTGCCTCTCCGACGAAGTCAGTGAAGTAGAGCGAGTAGCAGACATGGGCCATCCAGCAGAACAGGTTGGTCAAGCATACCACGCGTAAGGAGTTGGGCATCAGGACGATGGACTTCAAGTAGTGGGCCAGAGAGAGGTTCCCACTCGCATGACCAGTCTCCACCACGTTTATAGCTGCACCATTCTGGAAATTGTAACATTTCTGGATGTGAATTTAAATAGCTATACTTAAGTAGATTACAAATAATTGGTTCATAGATATAAAAACTAAAAATATGCTTTTAGTCATACATAGTACATCGTTGGGGATAGTGCAAATCTGTGAATCTACCATACGTAAAGGCCGCGTATCTGCAATAGATCCAGTTTTACAGGGAAAGGTTTAAACTTAAGAACTTTGTTAATTCGATGAATTTGAAGCTCATTTTTACATAATATTCAAAATGAATCGAAATGTTCTCATGCTAAGGTGGACAGCCAATTAAGATTTTGCACGATTTTTCCGCGAAAACTTGAATTTGTTACATTTTTCACATACGCGATTTGAATTATCTAATGCTAGTTCCGCGCATTTGTACTATCCGCGACGATATTTTATCGTCAGGATGCCTATATCCAACCTGGGCCTTGAGAAATTGCTAATAATTTAACGTAACTAGTTGCTAACATAAAATAGTTATTTTCAAATCGAATTTCACAAATGCCTTAGAAATCCTTGTAGGTAACTATACAAAAGGAAGAAAAACCTACATTAATATGTACCTTTGAATTGTATTTCGTCATCCCATTCTCCCCATTTAATCTCCTATTTCTATAACAAAACCCGAATAAAAGAAAACCTCGAGTGAGGTAACGTATAGAAATCATTTTATTATCAATAAATCCTAGCTAATTAATTAGGAAAGGGTAATATTACCCTTACGTATTACGTAATAAAGGTGTTTATTAAAACAATACCAGTCGAGCTTGTTATTTCGGCCAGTCAACAATGGCAACACGACGGCATTGTAACATACACTAAACCATCGCAAATTGAACTTGTATTGTTTAGGCTATCGGTACATAGAAAGGTCAGGATAAACTGGAAAAGTGTAGCTTGATTTGTAGCCTTTATATAAGTCCTTTAACTAATTGGAAGTTATTAATAGAGCCGATGTCTAAGTGAATGCGTCAGAAGATTATTTGAAGAGGTACGGGCTTTCCAAAGATTACTTCTACACGTATTGATTTGTGACTTAGTCATTGACAACAAAATATTAGGCAATGTAGGTAGTTAGGTACTACTCAACTTAGGTAAGTAGTTCTCAAGCATTTTTGGTGTTAAAATATAATTTCATGTAAACAGCTTCAAAATTGATGTAAATAGAGTACCTATACTTTTGTTGTATTTTAGGTAAGGATATCTTGTTGTGGAATCCCCAATTATTCTTAGTCCAACCCAGGAATTAAACCTCAAAGCCCTATTTCGCAGTAGCGCTTGCGGTTACTCGACCAACAGAGCAGCTTGACATTAAATTACTTCACAATTATAATAGATATATAATTATCATACCTCTGGCTGATTTAACGCTCCGTAAGTTACATTATCCTTCTTCAGGGTCTTGTCCGGTCCATCAGGACCCTCGTCGAAGCTCTCTTGGGCTCGTTCAGTCTCCGCTTGTTTTCTGAACTCCTCTTGGTCAGTTAGTTCAGACAAAGGAATCTCCTTGAAGCTGGTGATAGTAGCGGTGACACAAGCGACGAAGATTATGGTGATTAGTGAGAACACTGCACGGACGTGCCCACCGAATAGTTCACCTGTCAATGTTGGGGATTCGTGATTTACCTTTATATTGTGTTAATTTAATGTAGTGAAGTATGGTATGTGTGCAAATGTGCTTTTTCTCATGAAAAAGAAACTTTAAAACGTTTTACCTAAATTCTAAGAAAATCAAAACAAAATACTTGAATGTCTACTTTTATTGAAATTCTCGGATTCAGGCGCCACTTGAAGCATTAATCATAATTTACAATACTCAATAATTAGTTGCATGTATATTGTAATGAGTATGTAACCGTAATTACCGTACGAATCGTATTTACCGAGGTAAATGTGAAGAGAAGTGTGAAGAGTCACATTGAACCAAATATCTAGGTATAGTCTAGTAAATCTGTGTATTTGTAAATCATTTAAAGCATTATTCAACTTTCGTTTTCGAAATTCCTGAATTGGGATGATGGCAGGGTATGAAAATTAAAAATATAATTAGTCCGTAGGTTAGGTAATGAAAAAATGTTTATTTTGTCGTATAAGAAAACAATACTTAGATAAAACGAATCAAAGTTTAGGAGTGAGGGCTAAAACGTCATTTCTACGTATAAAATGTACATAGAAGTGACGTCACGCGGCAATATATCGTCGAAAGTATTAGTTTCTATAAGAAAATAAAATATACGTATCTAACGATTTAAAATAATCTACCAGGCGGACATTAAAATAAAAATTAGGCATCTACACTATTATTTACTATCAAAGTTCAAATTTATCACCAATTTTCATCATTGTTCAAATTTATCAGCATAATCAAAAAAATTGATTATGCTGCTCATGAATGTGAGACCCGAACAAGGCTTGAAGCTAGTAAAGTTTGTCAAACAGTCACGTTACACATGCATATATAACATCACGCCTTTTATCCCCGAAGGTATAATAGGCAGAGGTGCATATTTGGCACTTAATGACACTGTACAATGGAACAAGCATTTTTCACTATTTGTGTTAGTAGTCCCATGTAATAGGGGGTGAGCCTTATACCGGGCATAATTCCAGACTCCGTGCTACCGCTGAAATTTTTTTAAAAACCCAGTAGTACTTTGCCCGACCCGGGAATCGAACCCGAGACCCCTTGCCCGACAGTCGCACTTGCACATGGCCAACGACGCAGTCGGTTACGTTAAACATAGGTACTGATTAATAAGAACTGCTGTTTTATATTACCAAACCTCACCCCGGATTTAATCCAATTATACACTGTATTAAACGTAATTCTAATAATATCGTATTAGCCAGCATAACGTAATAGACGCCTGGAAAATTAGCCGTCCGGTCACGAAATCGTATTTACCTAATCGGGTGTCGTCCCAGTTTATGCCGCCGAGCGCATACCCCATGAAGCCGCCTAGTCCAGCCATCACCGTGAATGTGCTTAGACCTTTAGCATGGTCCTCTGTGGAAGGAAGTGTTATTTAATATTTAGTATACATATATATTAAGATAATCGTACAATCTTCCTAGAATACAAAGGGCAGCGATGTCGATACTAGGGCGGCTGAAAAGATTTTAAATTTAAACTAGTATTTTACACAGTAAACGCCGTGGGATCACGGCTAGGTGACGTTGACGTAGCATTGACCTTAAACAGTTTTTCTTTTCTTTTTTTTTTAGCATTTATTTCATTCAAACTATAATTTGGTACTTTTGAAACGTCAACAAATACAAAATAAATAATAGTCTGTCAGTCAGTCCGTCACTGAAGCTAGGTGAAGCTAGGTGCTCATTCCAAAATGTAGATTCGAATGGAGAAGAACGAGCAAGAAACTCCATTCGTCACTCTTTTTTAAAAAGTATGCTGTACAATGTCTCTAATCCCTATTCCCATACTGTATGTATATGTATTTTGCTTTTTATTTTAAGTATTTTGGCTAAAATACTTAAAATAAAATATATATAAATAAATAAATATTTGTTATTGTTTTTGTTGTACGTGACGTACCGTAAAAAGGGCGTGTTACATTAAAACATGTGCATCATTATTATTACGAGTATGTTATTTTTCATGAATTTCGAATATATCATTCTTACTCTCTTGTATAGGAACTGAGAGTAGGTCCGTATCGAGAAGATAATTTCGATAAGATTGTATAGACCAAGGTTGATGGGTAGCAAGACTAGTACCTATATTTTCCTTGTTACGTAATTCCACATTCAATCAAAAGTGGAGCGTCTGGTAAATAAATTAAAACTATGATTGAAACCTTTATGTAAGAAAACTATGTTAAAAAAGTTATCGAGAATCAAAATGAAGGGTTAAGTTATGGTTTCGTGTGAACCAAACGGATCTCTAAACTTTACCGACTTTATAATATAAGAGAGACTTTAGAATATTTTGATGTGTATATAAACTCGGAAGTTGTATGAAGTTATGTTTTACATTTCTCGATTGAATTAACTAGGAACCTTCTCTTCTTGTTAGATACCTTAGCCGTGTTTGACTAACCTGAATATGCATCTGAATATGCGAATACTAACATTAAATTAAAAAGGTAAAATGTCGCATTCCTTCCAAAGCACTCGTAAACAAATATATATTATCACATCACTATGTATATAAGTTATAAGTAAGTATGTGACAGGCAACGATTTTCCAGTCACATCTCACGACAAACATTTGTTCTCTAAATATTGTCTTTCAGATGAAAATGTACATAGAAGACAGCCAAACAGACTACATATATACTTACGTACATAAAAACTACAACTAGACATGTATTAAATTATAATTATATAAACAAATACTATGAAACTTGCAGTATATATGAATGTATAATGATATATATAATTATAGTGTACAGAATATGACGAATTTACTAAGAATATTAAGATTTTAAGTCGATGTGGATGTTGGTATAAAATGATGTTTAGAAATCATAATTCATTTTTATTCAGGTTGCACGATTGTGTTACTTTACTTTATTTTGCGAACCATGTGCTGGTAAATGTGTATATACAATGTTAACCGGGTCATTAAATGTACTTTTGATCACTGTCAGCCTTACATTCAGTTAGCGACTTTAGGTTATCTTCTGTATGGTTTTTCGCGGTGAAATGTCGTCGTGGCCTGGAGGTTTAAGACTTCCGCTTCTCATACATGAGGGTGCGGTTTCGAAACCTACCAACACCAAGCAACAATGTGACTTTTTCCGAGTTACATGTACTTCCTAAGATTACTTCGACGCCACTGACAGACGGTGAAGAGAAAACATCGTGAGAAAACCTAGACTTATAATTTCTAATTATAAGTTTGAAATCGCCAACTTACATTGAGCAAGCGAGGAAATTAAACCTTCTCCGAGCGAGAGGAGGCTTCGCTCAGCCTTTGCCTATAAATGCCCATCATTTATAGGCTGTTGATGATGATGGGGATGGTTTTTCGCAGTTTCGCATATACTTAATTTATCTATCATAAAGACAAAATCTGCATTTGGGTAAGTACACACGTACCTGTATACAAAGATATTATTATACGTTTGTGATAGCACATACCAGTGTACTCGTTCGTTCGCTTTGTGTATATGACTTTTTCTTTTTTATGGCATAAGCTGGTAAACGAGCTTACGGATCACTTGACGGTAAGCAATCCGTGTAGCCTCTGGACATCTGGAACACCAGAGGCGTTACAAGTGCGTTACCGGCCTTTTGGGGATTAGAAGTTTGAGGATCGTTGGCGATTCAGGAATTGGGGAGATCGGGGAAGAGGAGGGTAATAGGGCCTCCAGTAACCTCACTCACACGACGAAACACAACGCAAGCGTTTATTCACGTCGGTTTTCTGTGAGGCCGTGGTATCACTCCGGTCGAGCCGGCCCATTCGTGCCGAAGCATGGCTCTCCCACACTTGAAGAACAGGTTAGATTTTTCATCAACATAGAACTTGAGTAAAACGTTACTAGTGTTCATAGTAAGTGTGTCCTTCTTTGCATAAGATGACAGAGGGTTATATATGTATAGTTACTACCGTCACATTAACAAATTGATTCATACTTTGACGCAAGGTCTAGAATAATATTTGTAGGTTAGAAAATAAAAATAATTAAACCATTTGCGACAGCAGTTTCTTTATTATGCATTCCAATTAAGAGCTTTTCTTTCCTTTTTTTCTTTATGGTATAAGCTGGTAAACGAGCAGACAGATCACCTTAGGGTAAGCTATCAGCGGCGTTGTCCATGGACACTCGGAACTTTACTTGGATTTTACCGGAGTTGGATTCAGGGATTGTGGAGATCGGGGAGGGAGTAACTTCACTCACAAGACGAAACACAACATAAGCGTTTTTTCACGTCGGTTTTCTGTAAGGCCTTGTGTCGAAGCATGGCTCTCCCATGAATATCATGAAAATGATTTGTGGAAAAAATACTACAATTCATCGTCATCATCAGCCGGAAGACACCCACCATATAGGTACTATAGATAATACATCCGTTGAAAATAAAAAGGGATAAGTAACTCATAAGAGCAAAGACATTGATAAACGATAAAATCGTTTAGAACTATTTATAAACGAAATCAGATTTAAGACAGAAAAAGATGTTCAACATGTATTAACTAAAATAAAAGTACTTAGGTATTTGTGAAATATTACTAAGAGATGTTAAAATAATCATGTCGCCAAGTGTGTATCTTTGAAAAAACCCCAAATATAAACGTTGGCTGCGAGATAAATCAATCACGAACAGACGTTGGATGATAAAAGTAAAGAGTCTGTTTTGTAGTTCATCACTCTCTGCCGCCGAAAATCTGTCAGACGCATATCACAGTCACATGTCGCGTATGACGTACTTGTACGAGCAAATATTAAAATTATATACATTTTTTTCTACAAACTAGGTTAAGGATTTTACTTTAATTCTAATCAGAGAACTCATTACGATGCAACAACAACAGCTACGTTGAAATCCAGAAACATCGGTGTGGTTAAAACACTTATGAAAACTGATAACAAAATTTCCTCGAATTTTTCCTCAAATTTTACGTATATTTATAAAAACAATGCAGATTTGTCATCTTTCCATACATGGCAGTTAGTAAGACATACTTAATGGGTCAAATTAATTATTATTAACTATAGTTCTACAAAAATCACAACGACTGGAATCTTTTTAATAAATTATTATTTGATTTGTTTATAACTTAGAAAGAAGTTAGAAAGAACTTAGAAAGAAGATCTTAGAAAGTATATATAACTCTGAAAAAGTCACATTGGTACTAGCCATTGGTAGGTTTCGAACACCCTCATTCATGAGAAGCGGGCGTCGTAAACCTCCGGACCACCACGACATGCTAAACTAACCTTAGATATTTTTATTTCGAAGAATTCACCAAGCACTTCCTGTAATCAGAACCTTACGTGTAACAGCAATTAGTACACGTAATTGTGAGATTTTCATTTCCACGAGTATAAATAAACTTTAATCACCATATTAATACTACACAAACATATTATAAATGAGATTCAAAGAATTTCTGATTCATATTGACGTTGTTTTCTGAGTAATTATTATGAATATAGTAATAACTGAAGTGTCTTACCTAACGGCTTACAAACATATATTATTGGCTAGTTATCGTGATGTATAAGTTTGTTCTATTTCAGTAACATTCAATCAAGCAGCTATTCTATTGTTGCGTGTAAATTAGAAATATTATTTTCTATGAGTACCACTTGGCAAAGTCACTGCTTCAAGTGTTGTTCACCTTTACGTAAAATGGTACAATCAAGTACATATTTTTATGTTACGACTTTTGACAGCCAACATTTTACCCTCAAATGAGAAAATTGAGTAAATCCAATCAGATGCAATTACGGTTTTTAAGTTCTATATTTGCATTAAAGTTGCGCATCGGATCATTTTTTAAATCCTTTCTCTGTCTTTATACACTAATGGCAAAACAAACCTTGGTCTATTCAAAAACACAGACATTACTAGTTAACGACGTCTCTTGGTCACATGGTGGTAATTGGGACAAAACAACTATAAAATAAAACTTTCTTCAAACAGATCTGACCTGGAACTGTCACGTCAAGGAGATAAGCTCGGGCCGGGCTCTGGCAGGCGTCAGCATCAAAGTCCAGGAACACAGTACCAAGGACTGTAAAGAGTACGCCCCAAGGATGATAATTGCTATGTTCCTTGTCCAGCGCAGAACTACGTGGGCCCAAAACAGATGGTGCTTCTGTCCTGTTTAGGGGCAACTCATCACCGAGAGCATAGCCTATATCTTCGCCGTTGGGGACTAGAATTAAACCTGAAAGCAAAATAGAATATTAATATTGGACCAAATAATTGTTTTCTTTATTATTATTACGAAAATTCTAATGCTAAAGATGACACGTAACATTGTGATATTAAAAGAAAAACATCTTAAATCGCCTGTCACTTTCAACAAGCAAACGCACATCAAGTTTTCCCAGAAAACAGCCACGTGATCCGTAATTTTCGTAACAAAACGCTCCTTGTTTACGATCTCGGTTCGGACGCCTGTTGCTTCTGCCTCAAGCTTTCCACTCCCACGTAAATAGGCCTTTATTATCCCACTTGAATTTCCGAAACAGTAATTAGGAATATTTCGTTATCTCTTCAAGTAATAACTGTTTGCTTAGGATTTCGGGTCTCCAACACGAATGCCTCCATTACAAATTTAATTTAATCCTTTAGATCTTTGGGCAAATTCGTACTGAACTCTTTATCAAACAGGTAGACGTTGTTTATAAAGGTTTGCGTGCCGACGACTCATTAAATTTTATATCTACATCAGCGATCGGAAGGTAAACGATGTAAATACCACTAAATATTGTTTGTATTTTGTGGAATGTTGGAAACAAACTCTGATTGCTTTATTTATAGACTCTAAAGTATTTACTAGTTGATAAAATTTTGTACTTACTAAATCTACTTTCTAATTAACCAATTTGAAATAAAAAAAATATTGCATTTTTAGTTTGTAATCTGTTCCTATGAAGATGAAAGGGTAAGAAACTATGTTTACGGTCTCCTTACCTAACAATACTCCAACGGACATGAGCACAATGAAAGGTCTTCTTCTCCCGAACTTGGAACGACAGCGATCACTAAGTGACCCCAATAGCGGGGTCATGAAGAATCCAATTAGAGGTGACAGTGCCCAAACAAGTGTCATCTGTTGGTGGGGTACCCCTATCTGCAGCAGAGTGGGAGAGACGAAAGCAGTCTCTCCGGCGTAAGAAAACTCTATCCCCATAACTGCCGCCGATATCCGCATCAACTCGATACGACTCTTTCTCCTAAAAACATCGGATACAATTAGAATTATGTTTAAAAACTTACATAATTGAAATCTTTCATTTGTTTCTATTTAAGTTTTACTTTCGATTACGATATATTTTGGTTTTTTGGGTATTAGAATACATAACATAACGCCTTTTATCCCCGAAGGGGTAGGCAGAGGTGTACACTATGCCACTGTACAATGTAACACCCACTTTTCACTATTTATGTTATGAGTCCCATGTAATAGAGGGTGAGCCTATTGCCATATACCGGGCACATATCCAGACTCCCTGCTACTACTGATATTTTTGAAAAAAAAAGCAGTAATACTTTGCCCGACCCGAGATCCCTTGCGATTCGCATTTGCGACCAGTCGGCCTACAAGGCAGTCTTGCAATTGAAGATATATATAAAAATAAACCTATATACTATATAGGCTTATATAGTATATAGAAATTAAGTGCTAGAAATGGAAAAGAGTCTAACAATAAAACATGATTCATATTATCTATTAAAATTCATCATTTGCATTGATAAATTTGACAGTGACACAGTGTTACCATGTTGGAAATCATCATGATAGGTATTAGGTACCTATCTGCTTTATTTGCTACACCAGACTTATTTTTCCAACGCCTACATCTAAACGCACTTTTTATCTACTTACTTGTCAACTGAAACATTGATTTATTTTATAAAACAAATAATATTGAAGCTGTTTCAAAAATTTAAAACAAGAATATATTTTTTCTTCTTTTTTTAACAATAACCTTAATATACGGGCCAGCTATTGTTAATATTACCAGAGACGGACAATTCTTTCTAGAACGAGACTTTTTTTTCTAGATCATTCTTTTCATTGAATCCAAACACAAAATCTTTCTAATTTAGGAGGAGATCCTCAAGTCGACGATTTAGGGATGACCACACAAACCTTTTACTTATTTATTTACACTTTTATGTATGTACAATATAATAATGAACAATTTTAGTATATTAATAGTATGAGGTATATGGTTAGTTGCTTTATCGACTTACCTATACAAATCGCTGTAGGCACTATCCTGCCATACTCTTTCAGGAGGCTCGTCAGAGTTGGGGATGCCAAACAGGGTCTCAGCCACCACATCCCTGACTCCTCGAGGATGCTGTTCACGCCACCTCGACCACCTCTCCTTGTACCGGTCACGAGCACCATGGAGCCGGCCCGTCACACCTTGGTATTCATGTAATTTGTCTGCCATGGTTAGTTGACGGTCATAGGATTTTGGACCTTATAATAATTTGGTCAAAGATAAGATTAAGGATGCAAGGACGTTTTTTTTTTTTATTTTATTTTGGATTCACATACTGCTTATTTCATTAATTTGGCAAAAAAAAATTTGGTATTGTTTTTTTTGTAGTTCAAGAACTAAGAAAATTGGTTAAACACTGTCAATAAAATCATTATACGAACACACATTTGTAACACATTTTATACCTACGTAACGAACAAAAAACACAAATTAATGATCAAATAAAAAAAGGAAACCAATTCGAAGTCACTCCTTAGAGTCCAATTAACACTGAACTTAGTGAAGTTTGTGAATAAATAACAAGTTTGAGTGTTGACGGGTAAAGTTGTGGGTAGCGGGTACTGGGTAGTTATGTCGCCAGTTGGGCAGTTGCCGCGGCGTCGGACGCAGGATGCGAACTGGGCGCGCGCGCCGCCCTCCCTCGGTACGCCGCCCGCCCAACTCTACTGACCGATCTCGATACTTTATTACTGGAAGTGATATTTCACAACGCCTTTGTGAAACATCTTTAGACTTTTGTAGCATTTTTATTATTATATGAAGTCTCTGAAAGCTAAGATGTGTAATTGAACACATTCAATTGAATAGTCTAATGCAAGATACACATTTTCATTAACCGACTTTAAAAAAGGTTTTTATGCGTAGTTTATAGGATTATGCAATGGAAGGAGAGTATATTACTATAACCTGATTGTAATATACTAAAGTAGTTGAAGTTCCACCTCGATATTTAATGAAAATCATACAATGTTCACCATTGAGTTAGCTGAAATAACCTATAGTTATTTCAGTTTGGAGTTATGAGGCTTCTGGCTTCTGTAATAAGATAGGGATAACCTGTGACTAAGAAGTTTATCCGTACTATTATATAGATAGAAAAAAAGCTAAGAATGTATTAATTTTTTTATATTGTTTGCTTTCGTAAAAAGTAATAGTCTTCAGGACGCAATTAAAATGGTTACGTGCCTGTGTGGTGTACGTGGGAGATTGGAAGTTGAAAAATGTTATTCATTCACCAATTACTATAAGTAAAACTAAATGTATTAATTAGGATTTACCACCATATAATTCTCTTATAAACTACGTTTAAAAAACCGACTTCAATCCTCTTTTATAGGTCGGTAAATATTCTGAAACCTTTTTCCAAGTGTGACAAACACTTTTCTGAAAACCACATCAAAATCGGTTCAGCCAATCGTAAGATAATCGCGCACATACATACATACATACAGGTCAAATTGAGGTTCTCATTCATTTCCTGTTCTTTTTGAAGTCGGTTAAAAATATCAAGAAAGTATAACCCCAGGAGCAATTTAAAAACAGAATCCCATAAAACAGCCTCTAATTCAAATAAAAATAACATAAAAGAACGAAAAGATCAATATACTAAACGTATTAAGAAAATATCGAGAAAGAAATGAACAAAAAGATATTATATTTAAAGGGAAGTGCTTCCATTTGGTCTGGAAGCAAATAATATCATTTTAAAAGTCACTTCTGACATTTTATCTCTCGGTGTCCCGCCTCAGGGATTACGGTTATTGCGTCCCGGGGAGTCGCAAGTGATTGTATCCTCCAATACTGCCTTATATAAACAAACTGATTGTCTGTTCGTCTTATTGCTTTCACATCTTTTTCTATCTTTAGACTGACGATGAAATTGAAAGTAACGCTCCCGGATTTACCCGATGAAACCGTTTATTACGTGCAAATCCTTTGGATTTTATCGTATTGCTGTCTGTTTAAAATTTACTTTGGTAAACTTTAGGATTGATTTATAACGGTGTTTCTTTAGTAAGGATCGCAATTTGACTTGATATATCTACGATACGTCTTAGCTTACGAGTTTCATTTGCAGTTGAATAAAAATTAAGTTTTAAATTGTAAATTACTTTCACGTATGTAATAAGTCATTAGGGGAGGCCTATGTTCAGCAGTGGAAGTCCTATGGCTGATATGATGATGATGATAATGATTATTATAATTCAGTTGGTATTTTAGTAACTTTAAAGAAACTCTCTTTGAATGAACAAGGGTCAATTCTCTTAAGCAGACGTATTATTCATTTTCATAGTGTGAGATAAAATGGAACTCGAAGTCTTACAACAAAATTATAATTCCTACATATTGTTTGTGATCCATAAAAAATGAAGTAAGCCAAGGTAGGTAACTTGCTACATATCCACCCAATACCTACATTTCAAGTTCACAGACAGATCTTATCTTCCCAATACCTATCGGATGATGTCGAAGTAATCTGATGAAACATGTCGCAACGCAATCCCGATAGCTAAATACCACCATTATCAACCATTGAGCTGACTAGCCGACAATTTACACCATAACAAGATAACTAGAACTTCAACAATAATATTTACCAACAAGTGAAGCTACTGGCGTAGTAAATACGGTTCAACTTGCACTTGAAAATAAATAAATGCGTGCCTATTTGCCTTGTGTAGTAATTTACAAGGTGCAATAAATAATGAGACATTAATACGTGGACTAGTTGTTTGTAGAAGTTATTTATACAGCATTGTTGAAAGTATTATAATGAAACAAGGTTGGTCCCCGCACGATGCGCCGGCGCCGCAACCCGTGACTGCGACAAAGCAACACCTATCTTCGCACTCATTTGAATATACTTTTGTCTCACAAACCGTGAAAATTAAAGGAAGAAATGACAGGAAGGACGACCATAACGATAAATGTAGCACGTAACATTGACAGACAATGATTGTTACACTTTACGAATAACGTATTATCTAAGTTTAGTATCGAATTATTCACGCATTCGTATAAAGATCTAGTTGAAAATTTTCCAAAATAATAATGGCTAGACTAGAATTCTAGATAATAGTATTCAAAGGCAATATTCAAAGATATGTACCAGTCTGGTTATGTAATACTCTTTGTTAGGTGCACCTAAACGAATTCCGTAAAATTGCATTGCATCCGGGTAGCATTTTAATTTTAAAACATTTGTTGTTTGTCAACTTTGACCTTGGTGTTATAACTATTTATCTCTGAAAAAGACAATGTAATTAACGTCTTTTCGAAGTTATTTTTAGTTCCCTATCTGTTGTTTGCTTCAAAATTTTCATAGTTACTACCATACAAACCCCATATGCTAAATTAGTATTCAATGTCACATTCTAACCTTGATTCGTTCAAAGGCGGTTTCCACAAACGCACTGCCTTATCAATCATGAGGTGACAGGTGACAAGTCTCTTAAAACAAGATAAGACATTGAACCAGCAGTTGCTGTTAGCTCACCAAAGAAAGTGTAGTTACGACTACCGACGTATTTTCCATAATAATTCTAATAAAAATTACCACTGTTTATAATATACCGTCATCTTGTAATGAGTTTCCGAGAAATTGTTACCATTAATCTAATTTGTCATTTGTTTTTCGTATTTTCTACTTTCGTTACTTGGTATTTTATTTTAGGTAGGTAAATGTCGTTTTATTCATAAATACATTTGACGTAGTATTTCTTGTTCATTGATCAAATACAGGCTTTTAGGCTTACCTAGTCTATGTTTCCATTTTCCGTTTTTGGATCATTAGTCATTACTACTTTTTATTCACAATATAATTAAGGTACCTTCATAATATAATGATCTTATAACAAATAAATTAATTGCTGTCATCGGTAGAACTGTTGTATTAATATAAATAAATAACTTAGTAATATATATAAATAATTATTTTTTAACATTGCCTCACACTAGCATTTTCTCTTCTGTCGTGGGTGCGTTTACCAAAAAACAAGTTCACATACACATCACACCCAGACCCGGAACAACAATCTGTGGATCACACAAAGAGTTGTTCCGTGCGGTAATCGAACCCGCGACACGTTGCGTGGCAGCTACTGCGACAACCGTGCAGTCATGTGTTTCATTAAATTTTTAATTCAATCGTCATTTTGAATTTAATGTTACCTACCTATGGCAAAACGAAAAAGTAATTGTGTGTGTAAAAACCTTTAGAATATCCTATCAATTTCACAAACTAATTGACTAATTAAATTCCCTAGTAACAATATTCCCAAACAATAATAACGGTACAAAAGTAACGTATAAATACTACATTTATAAACGAAGAATGGAGAGGCGCCAGAGAACAATACGGATAAATATTTGCCACCTTATCATTTCCTGCGCTCTGCTCAAATAACCACGATCAATCACATGTTCCCTATAGATAAACTGTAATGTATTCATGTTTGTACAAATCGTACACAATCTTATCATATTACCGTGGAAATAAGTAAAAACCTTATGATTCAAAGATGATCCTAAGCCTATAATATGGGCATATCTAATGTTTCAAGATTCTTGTTTGTTCAGATAAAGTGGCCTGTCTGTTGCTTAGGTGTGTGCTTTTGGAATCTTTAACCTTTGAATGACCTCTAGTATAGTCACATAATGCGTTTTATCCCCGAAGGGGTAGGCAGAGGTGCACATTACGGCACTTAATGCCACTGTACAATGTAACACCCACGTTTCACTCTTTACGTTATGAGTCCTATGTAATAGGGAGTAGGCCGACTGCTATATACTGGACACAATTCTAGGCTCCGGGATACTACTGAGATTTAAAGAAAAAACCCAGTAGTACTTTGCCCAACATGGGAATTGAACCCGCCGAGACCTTGCCCCAAATTGCACTTGCGGCCACTCGGCCAAATAGTTTAGTGTAGTTTTATGGACTTTAATTGTTGGTTTTGTTAGTTCATCGTCATTGCTAGCTATTAATTAAAGGGTTATTACTATAAGAACTGGACATAATGTATACTACAGCCTCTTCCAGGTCGCGCCACGCCTGGCACGTTTCTTTATGTTTTTTTTTTAAGTTAAATTGTGCCAATCGGCCAGTCGAGTTATCGACTTTTTTTTATTAGGTCTAGAAGAATATCACACTCTCTAGTCTTTCTCCCCAAAAAGATAGGCGATTAGAAGATTTCCCCAA